TGGGCAGCAGCAGGGTCGTCTCCGGATCAGGAATCTCAGAAACTGCAGGCCTTGGGAGCTCACATGTCTCTTCACAAAGATCCACAGTCATGAGAGCCCAGAGTTCTGAGCGATGTTGGATAGAAACTCCAGAATCTGTTCTAGAGATGTGCCTGAAGACAAGGTCCTTGGGCCTCCACACTCAGAGACAGCTCTGCTGGGTACCATTTGCCTCCCAGGGCAGGGCCCTCCAGAGCTTGTGGAAGTAGTGAACCATGCCCCCTCTCTCCATCTGCAAAGCTGATGTCTGATGAAGCCTCATCAACAGGTAAATGGCGTGGTCGAGACGGCACATTTGGGGAGGCCACTCTGGGAATCTGGGTGATGATTTGTCTGCCTCAGTTTCCTTTCCTTTCCTTTCCTTTCCTTTCCTTTCCTTTCCTTTCCTTTCCTTTCCCTTCCCTTCCCTTCCCTTCCCTTCCCTTCCCTTCCCTTCCCTTCCCTTCCCTCCCCTCCCCTCCCTTTTCTTTCCTTTCCTTTCCTTTCCTTTCCTTTCCTTTCCTTTCCTTTCCTTTCTTCCCCCCATGCCAAGACAGGGTTTCTCTGTGTAACAGTCTTGGCTGTCCTGGAACTCACTCTGTAGACCAGGCTGGCCTCGAACTCACAGAGATCTACCTGCCTCTACCTCCCCAGTGCTGAGACTAAAGGTGTGCACCACCACTGTCCGGTTTCCTTATCTTGTAAAGATGCTGCCAGAAGCCAGAGGAAGGAAGCAGAAAGAACTCTTAGCAGGTTGCCAGCCGAAGGCAAGCATTTGGTAGGGCGATGACAGTAACCACGGAATGCATCTGTCCTGTTCTTCCCTCTCTGGCCTGAGCAGAGGACAATTCACCCATCTTGGACAATGTCTGTCACTGCCTGTAGCAACCATGCCTCCTCATCAGGCCCCTTCTGAGGGATTAGCTCTTGATTTGTGCTCTCTGGAGAGGCTGAGCTCGGAGGACGGGGAGGAGGAAGGCAGGCAGCCTTCCTTAGGACTCTGATAATTGGCAAACTGCAGGTAGCTCCTCAGTCTATCTTTGCCGTCTTGATAATAGATGATCTAATCTGTCTCTCTACAGCACTTCCTTCTCCGAGTAGCTGACAGAGATGGAACGATCCCATCCTTCACCCAGAGGAAGCCCGACTTCCCAAGGAGCTCTCTCTGTCTTGCCGTACCCCATGGGTGGGACCCTGGGAGGTAGCCGCCAGCTGCTCTCAAACATTGCTGCCTGTGACTGGTGACTGGAGGGACCAACCGCAGCCTTTCTCACCAAGTGGCAGGAGATTAGACCCTTTCCTAGGCCCCCATGTAGTCAGTCACCCTGCTACACCCAGGGACAATTCCTATAGGAGATATATCCTCCTGCTGCCTCTAAAATGGTAGTATTGGAATATGTCCAGCATTTGAAAAAAAAAACATAGAAAGTATTTGCATAAATATTAGAACATGCAGTATTTAGTTTAGGCTAGATGACAGATTGGGCACGAGGCACATGTCTGTCTGTAATCACTGCACTGGGGAGGCAGAGCAGAAGGCTTAAGGGTCTGAGACTAGCCTGGCCTGTTTATGGGACTCTCTCTTAAAACAGAGGAGATATAGCTTAGTGGTAGAACTCTTGCCTTTGAGGGTGTGAGGAAGGGGGTGGGGAGAGAAAAGACAGAATTACAAGATCTTTCGTCTAGCCCCCGTCTCCCCCTTCCCCAGCTGTAGCCACCATCCTAGTTTTCCCATTCATGATTTTAGATTTGTGTTTGTTTATATCCATATCCTTCATGTCATAACCCAGACAACTGCTTCATCTCTTCAGCACTGCTTCCAGAGCACCCATGGTGTCAAGTCCAGTTCAGGTTGACGCCTGGTGCATCCTCTAGAGCATGATCACGTGTCTTTTCCCACCCACTGTCTTAGTGGCTCCAGGCTCAGTCTGTGTGTTGATTACTTTAGCATCATAGTGACAGAAATACGTAAGGGAAGAAAGGTTTACTTTAGCCTGTGGTTTCAGAGGGCTCAGCTGTGCTCCCTTGGCCCAATGTGCCTGGGCAGAGCATCACACAGCAGGCATGCGCATGGGAGCTCCTCTGTTCACATCATGGCAGACAGTCAACAGTGTACCAGGCACCAAGAGCTGGCCCACTTCTAGGTGCGCCCTTCTGCCAGCCATGCTCCACCTTCTAAAGGCTCTATACACTCTTAAAAGAGGGTCACCTCTGGGTAGGGGAATAAAGTCAGGTCATGGGCCAATGTGCTTCAGCTTTTTGGTGCCAACAAGGGAGGGTCCTGGATGCTGAATGACTTTGTCGGTTGAGAACTGAACCGGAAGAAAGATGAAGGACCAGAGCTCTCAGTCCCTACCCACACCCTCAGGTGTGTTGTCATGGTGGTCATCGTTCTGGGAGGGATAGTGGCTGATAGCATCTCTCTGGTCTATGTCCTAAGCACATTTCAGATTTCATTTAGGTTTCACCCAATCCAAGACAAAACCAGCAGCCAAAATCCCAAGATCCCTAGTAAGTAAGGCAGCCCAGTATTAACAAACAGGCCCTGGGATGGGGTTGGGGGAGTGTTAGCTCATCACCTTCTCTGGCCCGCATCCAGCTGCAGAAGGGAGGCTTGCTGGCTTAAGGCAGCTGGAATCCACAGCTGATTTTGCCCTGCATCCTGGAGCACCAACTGGAGCATCCCCGAGGAGCACAACCCCCAGCAGGTCTGCAGGTAAAGCTGCCTCTGCTTTCTTGGCTACAGCTGAGCCTCGCATTCCCTTCTCTGTGGGAGTCAGAGCCAATTTGTAATAAGCAAGAGCAGTCTGACCCAGATTAAAAGATACAATTAGTCTGTCTGCGCAGTAAACCTACAAGAGTGCCACTTACAACAAGTTTTTGTTTTTTGACAAAGGGAGATGTCCTGGGAGAACAATGAGCCCCCACCCCCCACCTCCGCCACCAAGAGCTTGGTAATTAACTGCAAACTCCCCAGCCGGGAGACCAAACAGCCACTGAGAAGTCAGGGTGGGAACAAGTGACCTCAGGTGGGTAGGTGACCACCATTGATCCCTGCAGCCCAGAAGGGAAGGGACTGCTGAGCTAGGGTGGAGGACCCTCCCATTTTTCCTTGCTTCTGTGGTTACCACAGATGTGCAGACACCCTGAACTGTAGTTGAGAGTCAGGGGCTTTGGAACATGAGGAACCCCAGTGGATCTTGGGCTTGCATTCATCCTGTGAACTCATGATGGATTCTGAAACCATTACCTCAGAGACACTGGCAGGCATGAGGACCATATACCCAGGGGTCACTCTGGCTGGTGCTCTTCTTCCTTTTTTGGATGGACCCAGGCTTCTGCCATGGGCATGTGGTGCCTGGAATCACCACCTGTGGTACCTGTGTTATTGAATCGCTGTTCTGGGCCAGCCAGGAAGTATTTCCTGATGTGAACGTCCTTATATCTTAGTTGACTTCACAATGCAGTAACAAAATGCCTGTGTCTCAATAATTTATAGGGACACTTGTTTGGCTCATAATTCTGGTGGATGGAACTTCCTCAGCATGGCCTTGGCCATAGGAAATCAGTTTCTTACATAAAAAACCTAAGTGTGAACAGGAAGAGCAGGGAAGGGCAGGTTCCAAGTCCTGTGGCAGGGCCATGGGAGCTGGCCGGTCCTGTGAGACCCAGCCCACTCCAAGAGGCAATACGAACCCATCACTTTCTTTTATGCCTCATCCCCTGACAGTCTACCAAATCAACACCGTCACGCTAAGGACCAAACTCCAAACTGCAGCATGCTGGGGCTCACAGCCTTAGGGTTCTACAGTAGATTTTCTTACTTTTTTCCTTTTCTATTTTCTTTTTGGTGCTGGGGGTGGAACCCAGAGGCTTGTGCATGTTGGGCAAATACTCTAGCCTGGAACTACATCTCTACCCATGGGTTTTTGAGACAGGGTTTTACTATGTAGTCAGAGCTAGTCTTGAACTTGAGATCCTCCTGCTTCAGCCTCCCAGTTGCCAGCCCTTGGGGTTGGGCACCATCCTACCTGCTGGGGAATGACTCCTGATCCTTTTATAGCTCAGATTTCAGGGGTTTGTGTGCTGAACTGCGTCTTCTTCACCTTCACTGTGTGAAACTTTCCTAAGGTTACCTCATTAGGAGTGAATGTCCTTACAGGGGTGACAAGGTTAAAATGAAGTCATCAGGGTAGGGTAGGAAATATGTCTGACTGCATCCTCACAGAACAGGGGCTCTGTCTCACTTCCACATAAGAATCTTGGTGAAGATGAAGGCAGAGGCCAAGGTGGAGCTTCCCCATGCCAAGGAACACGAAAATTGGCCAACTCAGAGAGCACCAGAAGCCAACAAAAGGCCAACCCACCTTGTCCTAGTCCTGAAAGGCTCCTGCTGTCTTATACCCCTCAAGAACGTCCAGCCCTAGAGCCCTAGAGCTCTGTCTTTTCAGTCACTCGGTCTATGGCACAGTTGGCTCTCTGGGCACTTGGGTTCCGCATCTGTGCCGAGCACGTGAGGGCTTTATTTTCCCTGAACAATATTGGATGAGAATGACTGACGCAGCATTTGTGCCGCATATAATGTTAGAAGCTGTCTAGAGTATGAGGATTCAGGAAGAGTCATACAGCATGAAGCTGAGCTGGAATAAACCCAAATGTCTGAGCATCTGCTGACTGGGCATCCCAGAGGCTTCCTGGATTACAGGTACCAGCAGATAACTCGCAACTAGGAACAATTTGACTTTGTCCTGAGGCCAGGTTAGAGAGCAAATTCCCGGGGCAGGCACCTGGTGATATGGTTGACCTGCAGCTGTCCCCCAACACTGTTTTTATTTGTTATCTTCTGTCTTTGCTCCGCCGATCTGGTCCATGAGTCTGGAGTCTGCCAGCAGTTTGCGTGCCCCTGCTTCTTCCTATAAAACCCCAGACAAGGCTGTGACCTGTACCCTTCTGCTCCCTATCCTCTCTGTTCCCCTATTCAGCTTCACCCAGATGACGGCTGCCATACCCAGCGTGGTGGGGCCAGCCTGTGACATGAGGAAAGACCTGGAAGGCCTCGGAGCCACTGGCCCTCCTGAGGTGGACACTGAAGATGGATTCCTTAAGGGAAGGTGGGATTTGATCTGTTCAAGTTGCGAGCGCCCGGATCTGCTCTGCAGATCTGGGTGTAGCCAGCTCAGGCACGGGAACCTCGTGTTGTAGCGCCTCTGCTTAGCACCTCAGGGGAGAGCCCCTGAGTCCTCAGGGATGGCTCCCACTCTTCCTTGCCTGCTGTTGATCTTAGCTGTAAAGAACACTCAGTCCATCTGATGCCCATTTCACCCACTGGACTAAAAGCAGCCTTGTGAATGGTCTACACTTATCTTCTATCAAAGCTCTTTAGGGGAATTGAAATCAGGTTCTGCCTAACTGCTGTATACAGCACACACCACACCCACATCAACCAGTGTTTGCTGATGGATGAATGAATAAGAAAAATCCACAAAGGAATTGGCCTGCTCCATTCACCTGATGCATGAGTTTAAAGTATGAGAAGAAGGGAAAAGCAGACTGAAGGAAAAACATACGAAAAACAAAGGACCCACTCTTTTTTTTGTAGCTGGTCACTTGAACAAATCTTGTCCACGATCCCCCTCAGGCAAACGAAATTGCACTACATGGTCATGTCAAATGGCCGACACGGGTGCGAGCTCTGATTGAAGATGGCTGCCTACCTAACCACGGTTGCCCTTCCCACGGCAGACCTGCGAGCTACAAACCTGCACCTCTAACACGCGCTGTCCCTACCCTGAGCCTCACTGCTGGACTCCCAAGCATCCCAGCTACCGAGGCACGTCTGCACACACGTTTCCTTGCCCCAGAGAGGATGGACAGAGCCTGACATTCTGGGGGCCTGACAAGCTGTGCAGTGTCTCCTCTGTGGCGCTTGCCTATGACACTGATCCCTGCATTTACTGAGTGAGAAGTGTCGACAAGCTCTCTTCGCGTGGCTCTTCCATGCCTGCCTGCCCAAGCTGGTTTACATTCCCAGATTAAACTAATTTGTTTCCTGTTTGCTTCTGGCTGCCAGCTTCAGGGAGCTCAGCTTGGCTTCCCTGTGTTCCAACTAGGCCATCCCCCTTCTTGTCGTCCCCATCCCTAGCTAACCACATCTGAGGGGGAGGATTAGCAGCCTCAGTGCAGGGTGGCTCCAGAGCTGGCAGTCAGGATGCTGCTGCTGCTGCCGCTAAGAGCTGGGGGTGGGGAAACGACAGCTTACGCCTGCTAGAGAGGAAAAAGAAGGCCACCCAGCTGGGGTCACCCCTCAGCTGACAGCAAACAAATGGGAATAATCACTAATTGTGTGGATGTTGTTGATTGGAATGGATGTAGCTAACACTCATTCTGGCATCTCAGCCTACCTTTTGAGGGTTTCTCAGGATATGATAACGGTTTTTTTTTCTTTTTTTAATTGATTCTTGGTGGATTTCGTATCATGCATCCTGATCCCATTCATCTCCCTATCCTTTGTATCCACCCTCTATCCTTTGTATCAACTCCCCCAAAATAGTGTAATATTCCAAAGAAAAACAAACAAACAAAAACTTAAAAAGCACAAACAAAACCTAGGCATGGAAGCTGTTGTGTAGCCCAGTGAGTCACACAGTACACCCTTTAGTCCGTACACCCTTACTTGTAAGTGCTCATTGCAATGAGTCCTTGTTCTGGTTTGAGGCCTCAGATTTCTGCTATACAATCGATGCTGGGCCCTGAGTCGGTTCCTCTTGGCTATACAGTCATTGTTATCCTGTGTCATGGAGATTCTGCAGCTTTGGATCTACAGGTCTGGCCCCTTCACAAGCTCCAGCAGTTTATAGATGAGGTAGATGCAGAGATGAGCTATCTCAGAGCTTCGGTTCTGAGCCTGGATGGCAGCTGGGCTGGTCGGCCCACCAAATTTCTCTCATCACCACCTCCTGGGTAAGCTCTCCAGCGCTGCTTCAGCCAGCTGGCCCAATGCAACAGACAGCAAGGAGTGGGGCCAGATCCCTTGCTCTCATGCCCTAGGGTCTGCCTTACCCACACCACCAGGGTCAGCTCTACAGTTTTGCCCAAGCGAGGTACAGGACCCATTCTCTTGAGTGCTACAGTTGATGAGGGATAGGATCAATTCTTCTTTCTCATGCCCCTGTGGCCAGCTCCCTTGCCTGATACAGGTAGCAAGGGGTGCAGGGAGGAGGGTATCTCTCCCTCACCCATGCCACATGGCATATGAGAGAGAGGCAGGGTCAGTTCTTCTCTCCAGCTCTCAGTGTGGCTTACCTGCATCCCTGCCAGCAGGGTCAGTTCTACTGTCTGGGAGAGGTGCAGGGCCTGTTTTTCCGAGTGCTGTAGCCGGTGAGGACCAGGGTCAGCTGATCCCACTTTCGTGATCTCTGGGACAGCTCTCCCATCTGCCATAGGCAGCAAAGGATGGAGGAGGGGCAGATGAGGGGTGGGACCAGATTACCTGTGCCCCCATCAACAGAGTCAAGTCTATTATGCTTCCCAGGTGAAGGGCAGGACCCACTCTCCTGAGTGCCTCAGCTGATCAGGACAAGGGCAGCTCTCTCCCACTCTTGGAACTCTGGGATCAACTTTCCTGCCTACAGTAGGTGATAAGGGGTGATATGAGGAGCAAGGAGCGAGGGATGAGGGGCCATTCTTGTACCCACTTCTCAGATGAAGATCCCTGGATGAAGAAGTAAAGTCCTGCCCAGAATGTCTGCCTTAGGACACAGCTTCAAAGCCTGGTGGGTCCGAGTTAAGACGCGATGCTTACCTGCCATCTCCAGACAGTACCTCAACTCTGATGCCTACAGGCATTGACTGGAAAAAAAAAAACCTCACATGCGCAGTCTGAAAACAGAAAGACAAGCTGGAGTCAGGCTGGAATCAGAGACCCGAGATACTTGCAGCCTCCGGGGTGTCCCCAGATGTCATGTTTACATTTTAGAGTGACAAAGTAGGAGTATTGCTTTCTCCGAGCTTCCCTAGTTAGTGTCTAGAAAGAGGTCCCCTTTTCTCACAACTCTTCCCTTGGATAGAATAACACGGCTGTTAGATTGTTTATTGTTAATGCCCAGAGGACTCCCCACAAGCTATGTTCATGCTGAATATAGGAAAGAGAATCTATTGCTATGTTTATTTTTTTCCAAACTGGCCTGCAAACTGCCTGGTTTAATGCTCCCCAATGCTGAGTGTCCGCATACGCCATACCCCATCTAACTCCTTCTGAGTGGACACTGAGTAGAAATGAACACCCGTTTAGAGCAGTGTTTACACCCCCAAGCCAGAGCCATCACCTAAGGGCCGAGAGTTTAATTGGGTTAAGCTACACAGTGGACTACAATACAGCAAGGAAGATGAATCAAGGTTTTATCAAAGCTGAGGTAGAGCCTCAGACCTGCTGCATTGACCAAGCAGCGGTCAGACTCAAAGTTTATCCTATAGACTCTGCTGCACACAGCATTCAAATACAGGAATAGCTAAGGTCTGGTATTAAGTTTGGCCTTGTGAGGGTGTGGAAGCAGTGGCTAGATACAGGGCATAGGTTCTTCTTGGGTACTGGCTTCATGGGGGTCTCACAGAGAGCAGATGCATTGATGTGCATGCATACACTGGGCATTGCCTCCCAGTTGTACTGTTCCCAGAGAAAAGCCACTGCCCTCCCATGTTCTCTGTAGCCTACCAGAGATGCCGTGGGTGGGTGTGCATAGGCTTCACCATTTCCATCCAGAGCGCCTGCTTTGGTTTTTTAATGCTTCACTTGTTGGCTCAGTCAGTGCTGTCAAACAGGGAGGTCTCCCCTGTTGTAGCAAGAAAGTGGGTGGTGAGGGTCATTCAACAGATCTTGACCAGGTTTTAAAAGAAAGCTCATAATATTATATGAAACCATATAGGGATAATATACAAACAAAACAGTAATAAAGACCTGGTTTGTGTGACGATAGACAACTTTTAACTCGTGAAAATATATATGTAGGCGCTGGATAGTGTATTTGTATATGTATGTAAGCATGTATATGGATATTATATGTATGGATGATATATACATGATATACACACATATGGATTTTATAGAGAGAGTTATATACACATACGTTTAAAACTGAGCCAGGGTCAGAGGCAGAGCCTTCTCCTGTGGATTTTTCTCTTCCAGGTCCTGTCCACAGGTGGTGGACTCCGTGATTCTAGGTTTCATGGTCTCTGTAGCCAGACCTGGCTGTGTTGCTTATGATCTTCTACCTTCTGGTTTTGACGTCAGCACTGTAGCTCACCCAACCCTCACCGTGGACCTGCATCCCTAACAAGCTGCACCTGGCTGGGTGAGGGAAAGCCTGGCATCGCCTTCTGGTTTAAATCAACAGACTTAAATAAGTGGGACTTGAGAAGGAGGGGACATAGGGCGGTGAGGGGCTTCATTGCTGAAAACTTGGAACCGTTTTCCAGGGTTCTATGTTTTCTTGGCTCCGTTCAAAATTCCCTCAGCTTTTCAAAGTTGTCAGGCAGTAAAACATGTGAGTGTGTATTGACCACCAATAGCTTGGCTCCTTCAGGGTCAAACAAATACCCTGACGTAAGTGGCTGCAATCGAGGGCCACGACGTCATGTAGGAAAAAGGGATTGTCTTTCCTTGGGCTGAAAGCAGGGCAAACTAGCTAGAAGAGCAGTCTGGTACAGCAGGAAGTTGACAACGTCTCCGACACATTCTTGAGCCGGCTGTCTAGGCTGATGACTGGTGTCCCCCATGGCCTGTCGCTGAGGCGATGAAAAGTGTGTTGAGGGATCGTGGTGTAGATTTGGGATTCGGGGTACTTACCAAGTGCTTTTCCATTGATGTGACAGAAACATGTCAAAGAGGGATTTTCTTTAGCTTGGGGTTTCACAGAGCTCGGTCTGTGGTTATTCGACCACCTGCGCCTGAGCAGAACACCATGGTGGTGGCAGCAAGAGCAAAGTGTGTCACCTATCCTGGTGGATAGGAATGATACAGGAAGGGGGCATCCTCCCAGGTCCTGCTTCCTCCAGTCACCTCAAACACCATCCTGGGAGTCCAGTGGCCTTTGGAAGCATCACTACAGACACACGC